CCGAAAGCTGGATATTTGAGGAGATGTAAAAGTTTTTAATTCGATTTACGAGTCTAGTTTAATAATTTCAATTAGGAGGATAATTGTGTGGTATAAGTAATTCATACTCATCTTCAGTTTGCACTAATCGAATTTGTATTTAGGTATTAGACTTTTTGGCACGGCCCTTCCTTTATATACTTCCTTTGCCCTGAATTCCATGTCACCTGGCTTTGGAATGGGAGGATCGGCTCTGCCAGTGATACACCATCTTTATGCGGCAAAAATTCCTACGGCCCTTCCAATGGCCCACAAAATTCGCAGAGAATTTCCAGAAACTTGGATTTTTGCAAACAAGACAACGTAATTGCGAAATCAGTATATCTCTTTTCTGAAAGTTACTGCTTTGGGTGAACAACTAACTACAATATAGCAATGTAGCACTACAACAGCATATAAATGCAGTATGGAATAAGCGTTACAACTAACTTTAATCAAGTCAATTATGGGTGCCTAGAGAATATTGTATGTTAGAGCTTTTGGTCGGTCGAAATTCTGGCATATATATGTTTTTATTAATAATTGTATTTTTCATGCAGTTTCAGAGAACATTGTGCCACTTGTACTAGATAGCGTACATTATTTCTCTTCTGAACAGAATATTCAAATCCGTAAAGAGTTTCCCGAAAGCTGGATATTTGAAAACATGGAGAAGTATAAAACCCCTTGACTTAACAATTTAACTTTCTCTTCGTGATTTCGGGTTTTTCAATTCAAATCATATTCCTATCATTCGATTCTTAGTTTCTTACTAGATCTTTTTTTATATATTTTGGTAGAGCTTCATGTGCTATATTCTGAATCTTTTTTTAAGCGATCATAAATACTATATGACAACAGGCTTGATCTGTCGCCCGATATATTGGCCTCATTAAATTTTAAGTATTCCGCTTTTGTCATGAGCTTCATTTGGTGAATCTGATCTGAGTACTTTCTCTGGTTTTGAATCTATCTGAAAATGTCTTTTTGTGTTTTCTATATGGATGAGAGGCTTTAATCTCTTTCCGGCAAATGTATGTAGATGCAGAATGCTCTAAAATTCCCTATTTGTGCGTAGGTATTCGATTGTTGCGACATCCACAGCGTGTTTTACCGTCCGCATTTGAATTTGAAATTACTTCGAGTAGGCATGGATTTATAGGACCAGATGCTTCTCCACCGAAAGCTGCTGCTCATATTCGGAAAGAGTTTCCCGAAGTTTGGATATTTGCAGACAATATTATGTAATTTTAACACTTTTACTATATTTACATCAACTAATTTGGGTATTCAACTAACTCAGACACTGGATTATAACACAATAATCTTCACCTATGAACAGCACATTACTATATAGTACTATATCTACCATTCACCGTTATGAACAGCAGCAATTTTTATACGAACGTTGACTTTTGAAGGTTAATGTAATATACAATGAATAAACCGATTAATTTTTTCCTAGATATACCATATTATCGTCCACTTTATAATCGTTTTCCGAGTCCATTCAGACCGGAACCTGGCCTAGAAGTCGCTTTTGGAGGTTTACCAATGCCACCTTCTGTAGGAACTCAACTCCTTGTTGGGTCAGTAGGACCAGTTCCAGCTGTCGTTCCTCAAATTCGAAAAGAATTCCCCGAAACTTGGATGTTTACAAGCAATATAACGTAATTAGCATTTTCTGAATAGGCAATGATACCACGGGTTAAGTTCTAGGCACAAAAAAGCTTATTTTACGAGTATAACAACATGGTCTTACATGGCACTGCAACAAACTAACTAACTAACACTCTAATTATTAATATAATTTATCTACTTTTAAAGTTAACAACTTAAAAAAACTGGATTCGGGTATAATACCCATAATGAAAGTCAGTGGGGAAAGGCAAAGCACCAACAAGATTCGAAAAACTACCACGCAGAAACCGAATCTTACCGATGAGGAGACATACGATTCGGAAAAGATTTCTGGCGTACGCGAAATATTTATGGAAACTTGGATATTTCATGGAAATTTAACAAAAATGTACACCAAAATTTCGCTTACAGAAAAGTTCTAAGTCCTAAACTCATCTCATATTAACTGGTATTGCTTATTGCGCGAGCTTATGTTTATAAGTTACATTCATTGCTAACCATCGTAGAGGAGGAGTCCCATTTATTTCCTAATCATTTATGTGTTGCTTTGCACTTGATTTTAAATGATACTGTTGATAATATAAATATCTCAATTAGTGAAACTAAAGATGTACATTATTTAATTTCCCCTTATCAGTGATGATGCTGAGGGCTTTACTCTGGTCAGAAAGATTCCGGACACAATCACATCATGGGTTATAACTGGATTTTCTTTAAACCCAAGAACCGGCATTGCTTTAACCAAGAATCCTAGAAAGATTCGAGTGTTCCAGCCATTCTTTGTGTCTACCAATCTTCCCTACTCAGTGAAGCGTGGTAAGGACTAAAGCTCGAAAATATTTATTTCGTAAAAGGTATTCCAAATTAAATAATTTCATATTTATTACCAGGTGAGGTCATTGCCGTACCCGTTATTATTTTCAATTATATGGATAAGAGCCTTGACGCTGAAGTCACAATGGATAATTCAGACAAAGAGTTCGAGTTCACTGAGGCTACCAACGAGGTTGAGGAGAACTCAATAGATGAAATAAAACGAGTTAAGCGCATTACCGTACCATCCAATAACGGGCAGAGTATCTCTTTTATGATACGCCCCAATAGAGTGGGATCGATTACATTGAAAATTACAGCCACAACTCCATTGGCAGGCGATACGATTCATCAGAAGTTGAAGGTCGAACCGGAAGGTGTTACACAGTTCGAAAATGTAGCCGTCTTCGTTAATCTGATGAATCAGTCTGAATTGAGTCAGGAGCTGAACGCGAATATACCCACCGAAGCGGTTCCAGACTCTGAATTCATAGAGTTCTCGGTAGTCGGTGATCTGCTGGGACCCACCATAAAGAACTTGGACAATTTGGTTCGCAAGCCCTACGGTTGTGGGGAGCAGAATATGGTAAATTTCGTGCCCAATATTCTGGTTGTCAAATACCTTGAAGTCACCAATCGGAATATGCCGAGTGTAGTGGCCAAGGCAAAGAAGTTCCTCGAAATCGGTTACCAGCGTGAATTAACATATAAGCACGATGATGGCTCCTACAGCGCTTTCGGAAAATCGGATAAGTCAGGCAGCACCTGGTTAACTGCGTATGTTGTGCGGTCCTTCCATCAAGCTGCCAACTACACGGACGTCGATCCCGCGATAATAATGCAGGGCTTGAATTTCCTTGTATCGACACAAAAAGAGAATGGCGAGTTTCCCGAGGTTGGCAAATTGTTTGACAATGCTAATCAGAACGCCTTAGGACTCACATCGTTTGTGCTCATCGCGTTCTTTGAAAATAAGGTAAGTAAATGAAGAGCATACTGTAATATTACTAACTCTCTTTCTCTCTCTAACAGGAATTCACGGATAAGTCAGAGTACCAGCAAGCGATTCACAAGGGTCTCCAATTTGTTGCCCAAGAAGTGGATAAAACGGATGACCAGTACTCCCTGTCGATAGCGGCAGTTGCTCTTCAGTTGGCCAAACATCCCCAGGCGAAAAAGGTTCTAGACAAGCTTCAGGGCCTCGCCAAATTGGAGGATGGTCGTAAGTGGTGGTCGAAATCAGCTGAAAAGCCGACCACTGAGACAAGTGGCTTTAGGACTTGGCGTCCCAGCAGCAACGATGTCGAAATTACTTCCTATGTTTTGATGGCTCTCTTAGAGGAAGCGCCGGCTGAAGATTCTCTGCCAATCATCAAATGGCTCATTGCCCAACGTAACAGCAACGGCGGCTTTTCTTCTACACAGGATACGGTCATTGGGCTGCAAGCGCTAACAAAGTTTGCCTTCAAGGCCGGCTCTGGCACTGGCACCGTTGACATCGACTTTGTGTCATCGAATGGCGACAACAATGGTACTATTAATGTGAATCCAGAGAATTCACTGGTGCTTCAAAGCCATATCCTACCAAAGAGCACTCGAAAGGTTAACTTTACCGCGAAGGGCCAAGGTTCAGCAATGGTGCAATTGTCGTACCGATATAATTTAGCTGAAAAGGATAAGAAGCCCAGTTTCAAGGTGACACCCACTGTCAAGGACACACCCATGCAGCAATTGACCCTAGAGGTCTGCGCTGAATACGTACCTCTCGAGGCGAGCGACCAGAAGAAGGACTCCAACATGGCCGTTATGGAAATAGCTCTGCCCTCAGGCTTCATCGGTGATTCGGATAGCTTTGGCAAAATTCAGGAGGTTGACAGAGTCAAGCGCATCGAAACTAAGAACTCAGATTCTACGGTGATTATCTACTTCGACAGCCTGACGCCAGGCGATGTTAAGTGTTTACCTGTGGAAGGCGTCCGTGCGCATTTGGTGGCCAAGCAAAAGCCAGCCGCTGTCTCCCTCTACGACTACTACGACACGGATCGGCGTGCCACCGAATACTACCAGGTGAAGTCCTCTCTTTGTGACATTTGCGAAGGCTCAGATTGCGGCGCAGGGTGCAAAAAGGACAAATAATTTAAGCTTTCGTTCATCAGCTTGACACAAAAAAAGCAATAAAAGCAAAGCAACATGCATTAACAAATTTAATATTTCGACTCGTTAAAAACTTATTGCGGGCTTTTAAGTATTTTTTAAAAGGGTAACTTCAGAATTGGAAAGTTCTTAGACCGTGGCATATCGGTGAATACAGACTGATACTCCGATTCCAGCTACAACGAAAAAGGTATAGTGCTCTTGTGCTGGGGTGACTAGCAAATATTAATGGGAAATGAGATTATTGGCAGGCGTCCCACTCCATTAAAGTCGTTATCGTGGCGATTGGTAGTGCGATTAGTAAATTCTACAGCTCGTATCTTTATGTGTTAATAATGTTTATGGAGTGTTGCGCTAACACTTCTGTAATTAAGCAGTATTTAGCAAGCAAAGCCCGAGCAGTAAAGATGAAGCCGTACATACTATTGGCTATAATAATTATTATTTCGCTAGCTAATGGGGCTAGCGTCTTTAAAAAACGAGAACCTAAAAAGAAGGTGCGCTATGACAACTATAGGGTTTTTAAGATAAAGTATAAAAGCCCCATGCAGCGACAAAGTCTGCTCGACCTAACAAAACTAAAGCAAAACGTAAGTATTACTTAAAGGGAGAAATCTAGAAGCTATTGTGATAAAAATTGCATAACAGTTCAGCCTGTGGCACGATGACGGCTCTGAGTGTAATCTGATGGTCGCGCCAAGTGCATTGCCCCTATTCGAGGAGAGATTAAGACTTGTCAACGCAACGGCTGAAATGTTTATTGCCAATGTGCAGGAGTAAGTGTAGACAGGTGAAATAGTTAATACTCTGAAGATGAATGTCATTTTCAGTTTGATTGACCAGGAGAACGAAGCGGGCACAAGAGCTGATGCCACTTTTGGCTGGACACGCTACCACAACTTGACTGAAATCGACGCTTGGCTGGATACGATTCTGGCAAATCACCCAGAAGTTACCATGGGCTTTGTCCTTGGCCAGTCCTATGAAGGTCGGGATATACGCGGACTACGCATCTCGTATAAATGGGGTAATCCAGGCGTGTTCATTGAATCTAATATTCATGCACGTGAATGGATCACCTCAGCCACGGCCACATGGTTGATCAATGAGCTGCTCACCTCGAAAGACGAATCGGTGCGTGAATTAGCCGAGAGCCACGATTGGTACATTATCCCAGTTCTGAATGTAGACGGGTTTGTTTACACGCACGAAACGGTAAATGCAATATATGCACTAAATTTATTATTTTAAATTAAATTCAATAATTTGTTCAGGATCGCCTATGGCGCAAAACACGACAGCCGTCTCTGATTTCTGATTGTATCGGTGTTGATGCAAATCGGAACTTCGACTCGCATTGGATGGAGAATGGCGGAGCTTCTTCGGATCCCTGCGACGAAACCTATGCTGGGCCGTATCCTCTTTCGGAGCCAGAGATTAAAGCAATGTCGGATTTTATTAGCATCCTTAAGCATAAAATGAATGTCATGCTGGCCTTTCACTCCTATAGTCAGCTGTTGTTGTCACCTTATGGTCACACAGCGGAGGAGTTTCCCGATAACTACAATGACTTGATGCTTGTGGCGAAGGCATACAGTGATGCCGTCAACGGACTGCCCTATGGCACAATCTATAAATATGGATCGTCAGCTGGCATTCTTTGTAAGCAAACAAAATACATTTATGCGGTTACACAACATACATGTATGATGATTCAATTTTAGATCCGGCCTCAGGTGCTACTAACGATTGGGCATACAATGAACAGGATATCAAAATTTCCTATACCATTGAGTTTCGTGACACTGGGAATTTTGGCTTTGTATTGCCAGCAGCCTTTATAAAGCCCAATGCAGAAGAAACATTGATAGGCATTATGGCTCTTCTAGCAGAATCGAAAAGGTTGGGATATTTAGAACCAAAATATACATTTGATGGCATATGAACCAAAATACCCATAAAAGAATAAATATATTTATATATCACCGAATAATTAGTTTGAACACTTTTGAATTTATCAGATAGCAAATTATTTAATAGAGCTTTTCTGGCTGCGTGTCATCTAGCTAGATGAGGAATACAGTGAAGATTGTGGCAAAGAAGTCGTGAATGGTTTAATATCCATTCAAGTAAAACCTAACAGTTCGGGCTCGGACTATCTGAAACTACAATACGACTTGGAAATACCGGCAAAAACAATGATCAATAAAATAATTTAGATAAGTTCAACATAATAAAACTCTTGGAAAGTGCAACGTAGCTATCAAGTATAGACTCGACTTCGATATCATTCAGTCAAACTTAGCAATGCGTGTGATATGGGTGCTAGCAACGCTTGTAGTCCTAGTCAACGCTGGGACTCTCAAGGACCCACCGAAAGTGCGCTACGATGACTACAGTGTCCATCGCCTCAGCATCAGAAACAAGATTCAATTATCGCTAATAAACAGACTGAGCGAACTCAGCGACAAGGCATGTAGAGGATTCAATATTATAGACATAGATTTGATATAGCTTTTTGTAATTGATTTTTAGTTCAATGTTTGGAAGGAGTATGATGAGCACTCCAAGCAGGTAGACATAATGGTCAGCCCCGCTGCCTCAAGGCACTTTCAGTTGCTTCTTAAGCTGTATGGCATTAGCAGTCAGCTCTCGATACCCAATGTACAAAAGTAAGTGGACCCAAGATGATTTTCGATGCTATAAATGGCACACAGTGGCGATAAGAAGGAGAATTGCCTATTATAAAGTTTTATTTGGTGTTTAGGCTTATCGACGACGAGCATGTATCCAGCAGAGATAGCGGCACTTTTGGTTGGAGGCAGTACCACGAGCTGGCCGAGATCTACGAATGGTTAGATAACATTGTTGCCACATATCCCACCGTAACCGAAGAATTCTCTATTGGTAAATCGTACGAGGGGCGTAACATTCGTGGCATCAAGATTTCCCATGGGGCGAATAAGCCCGGCATATTCATAGAGTCCAACATCCATGCCCGTGAATGGATCACCTCCGCCACTGCAACCTGGTTCATCAACGAGCTGCTTACTTCGCAGAAGGAAGAAGTGCGCAACTTGGCCGAGAGCTATGATTGGTATATTATTCCCGTGTTTAATGTGGATGGCTTTGAGTACTCCCATCGATCTGTGAGCCACTTAATATATACACATGTCTGACAAGTAAGCACTAACCGGTTACCTATCTATAGAACCGCTTGTGGCGCAAGACGCGGCAGCCACACGCCACCTCGAAGTGTATTGGAGTCGACGGTAATCGCAATTTCGACTCGCACTTCATGGAGAACAATGGTGCTTCGGCGGACCCCTGCAGCGAGACATATGCTGGCGAGGATCCTTGGTCAGAGCCAGAGACAAAGGCGTTGGCCGACTACCTAACGTCCATCAAGGACAAGTTCGACGTGTACCTCTCATTCCACTCCTATGGTCAGTGGTTGCTTTCCCCTTACGGTCATACAGCTGAGGAGTTTCCAGAGAACTACAACGACCTACTTGAAATAGGCGCTGCCTTCGGCAGTGCCATTAAAAATTTAGTCTACAGCACCGACTATGTTCATGGCTCCACGGCTTCCGTCCTGTGTAAGTTAGTTCCCTGTCTTTACTCTCACGTCCAACTAAAAGGGATGACGCTCTTGCAGATGTCGCTTCCGGTTCGTCTGTGGATTGGGTCTTTAATGAGCTGAACAAGAAAGTGGCTTACACCATTGAGTTTCGCGATAAAGGCAACTTTGGCTTTGTACTGCCACCCGCTCAGATCCTGGCGAACTGCGAGGAGCTGATGGCTGGCATGGTTGCTCTGATCGACAAGGCGCACAATTTGAAGTACATATAATCCAATGTTTATTGCTATCATTTACTTATCATTAAAGTACCGCAAGTAGGAGGTCAGCAGGTCATCCATTTTGTAGCCTTGGGTGGTGCTGCAGAGCAGCTTTGCGGCGCCAATCATATTTCCGAAGCGTATGTGAAAGTGATTCTTCCCTGAGCTCCACATGCCCAGCTCCGAATAGCTGTGGCTGCGCAGCAGATGTTTCGAGTTCACATCGAGCAGGTGGAAGCCTCCACTGTTGATGGCAATCAGTAGATGCTCGGGCAGCGTCTGGTCGTTCAGCTGTTTGACAACGAAGAACGTAGATCCAAAACATGGTTGCTTGGCAAGCTCCTGCAGAAACATTAGCTTTGCCTGTTTCTCGCCGAGGCCAGCGTCTCTCTTGAGCATGGGGCCCAGCACTTGATGCCACTCGGCAAGAGTGTGCAATGGCAGCAGATCTTCAGGCACTAGGCGGTGCAAAAGGTCTTGAAGCGGCAGGCCCTCATCATAATCTGGATCCGCCCTGTATATCAGACTAACCAGTTGGAGGGCCACATCAAGTGGAATGGCATAGTGGCCCTTTAGGTATTTATGCAGCTCCTGTGGGTAGGTGAAGATCAAATCCGCATTGAGATCTTTGCCGGGTTGGCAGTCAATCCACAGCTTTCGCATGAAATGTAACTGGTAGTGGCCATCACAGCTGGAGCGAATGGTCTTCTGCTGGCGCAAGCACTGCATCAGCTCTGTAATAAAGTCGAAGACAAACTCAGCCTCTGGCATGGCATAAATCCTTTCGCCCATCTTCAAAAAGATACTGAAGCCCAGTTGAGACTTCAGCTCCAACCGCTGTGCTATCGTAGTGATGAGTGCAGCGCCGCGCGTGTGGGACTCGATTTCAAATGCTTCCACCGTATCGTCCGGGAAATAAATCTTATGGTAAATGTGCAGGCAGCGCTGCTGAATACCCTCAACCTCAATCAGATGTGGCGCCAGCTTCCGCTGGCCATGCTGCACAGAACGCTTCAGACGGCGGAGACACGCATCGGCCAGTGAATCGTTCCGCAGGCGGAGGAACAGAACCAGTTCCCGCATTATGAGGACACTCGGCGACATGATCCCTGTGGCTAAGTAGAGCAGGTCCCAGCCACGCTGCTCACTCACCTCCTTGGGATTTTCGGTGAGCTGTTTCATCAGCTGGCAGAAGACCTCGTCGCAGATCAAAGCATCTTGCAGTGCCGGCTGAAATATTAGATCCGTGTTCACTGGCAGATTGCCACGTGCTATATCACCCATGTACTTAAGGAAAAGGTACACATTACATTACAAAGTTAGTACCATGCATATCTCGGATCGCCTACCTTCAGTATGTGATGATGAATGACTAGCGCCTGTTGGTACAAATGCGGCTTGGCATGCAGAGCCCTAAGGAGCGGCGCCTTAAGCGGCTCAGCGGAATATCTCCACAAAGGCGACAAATCCGATCTGCGGTAAAATTAAATTAATACATATTCAAAACTAAAATCTACAAATGCAAAACGAACTCAAAGCGCTCCCTGAATTGCAAGTCTGCAAACTTGGCCAAGCTATGCTGGCGACGAAGCGGAGCATTTGTGGGCTTCATTGAAGTGGATTCCTCTACCAAGCCGCTCGTTGTTCGCTCCTTGAATATCTGCTGTAGGTGTGAGCTGGGCTTCACTAGTGTGGCTAAAATTCGCACATCTCTGGCTATAAATTGACCCCACTGCCCATTCGAGCATCCACGCCAGCTGCATTGCGGATCATTTGCCATTAGTTGAGCGCCCATGACGCCAGCTTCGAACTGAATTAGATCCCCGGGCACTACGGACAGCTGATCTTTCAGTTGGTCTGGCTGAGAACTTTGAATGACTACGCCGTAACTGGAGCGCTGCTGCAAATTCAGCATCATGTAGTCAATGAGCTCGACGGCATCACGAGCCTCGCTCGACTGCAGCACGAAGTTCTCCTGCTGCGCTGTGAGCACGTGCATCTGATCATTGGGCTGGTACTGAACCCTGATCAATTCGGCATAGCTGCAGCCTGCGAGCACCTGCTCCGTTTCATCAATAAGCGCGACGCCTGTTGCATTGATGGCTAAAATTAGATCCTCGCTCTGCAGTTTGGGGCCGGACACGTGCTGCACCTCGTACAAGCGAGAATGGCGCATGGGCCAGGATAGATGGCCAAACAGACAAATGTCCTCCATAGCGCGCAGCTGCGACTCCGGGTCCTGCCCTTTCTTCACATAGGCGCTGTTCTCGTACATGGTAGCAATTAGACGACTCCAATTGCGGACAGCGCGCTCACCTGGGGCCAGCAAGTCCCGAGGCACAAAGGCCGTCAGTTGGCTGTCCGTCAGCCTGGCCACGGGTACCGCTCCCTGCTCGATGTAGGTGGCCAAGGAGCAGATCATGGCAATATCCTTCTCCGAGCGACAGCGATATTCACCGCACTTTAGGCCGCTCATAATCTGCTTGTAGATGAGATGTGTGGCTTTGGGGTCCAGTGTGGGATCATACCAGGCACCGAACACCTCTTTGCGTAGATAAAGCTTCCAGGGCGCATCCAGCTGCCTTTGCTCGCAGCTGGAAATGGCATCCAGGATGTGCTCACGCCCAGCTCCCAGGGGCATCAGCTTCTCATCTAACGACAAGACTAGGCCGAAGCCAAAGCTGTCGGTCAGCTCCAGTCCATCGCTCAGCTGCTGCACTGCCTCTCGGGCTGTGCTGGCTGCATCCACCTGCAATTTGCGCGCCTGGCCGTCCGTCAAATAAATAGCCAGCTTTAGGGGCTGCCGACTTCGAATCGCCTGCAGCTCGAGCAGCGATGGTGGTTGTGAGCGCGCTCCATTGGCCAAGGTGCGCTCCAGATTTTGCAGAGCTGGCGCTGCGTGCAGCTTGGCAGTGCCCACCTTCAGATAGCTGCGCAAATAGGGCTCGAAATTCAACGTGGGTGGAAAGCAGCTCAGGCAGAGCGACAGCAGCAGCCAGCCTCGGGAGATCGAGCTGCGACTGGGGTTTAGATAAAGCTGCTTGCATATCTGTGCTAGAATTTCATCCCTGTAAGATACAAAATACAGTAATATTTATAAGGCTATAATAATAAGCAACCTAATACATGAGATTGAATTGATTCATATACATATGTATTATTTACTAACAGCAACTGCTTTACACTGCTTAGCTGAGTGCACTAGCCAAGCAGTGCAGCAACGTGTGCTGCTGCCTAAAGCTGTTTGCCAGATAGTAATGTTAACAGATCTCGTCTGATTAACAGTATAAGTCCGTTGTTAACAGCAGCACTGCTTTAGGCATATGTGGCGGATAATAAAGTCATCGCATTAGTTCCCTAACAGTAGCACTGCTTCAAATTAAGTGATTTTCAAAATATGTCAATTATAATCTATATCAGATTGGTATAAAAGGAACTCTGTGTGAACTGTTGACTAACCTCAACTCTTCTTTCAAGATGCCGTGCCCGATGATGAAATGAATCTTATCCAAATGACTGCTGCCAGCATTTAGCCATAGCTGATAGAACTCTTCAGCTCCCCGTTGGCCATTAGCGTTGCCAAAAGATTTTGGCTGACGTTTAACAGTTTGTCTAACAAAGCGCCGGGGCTTGGCGCCTAAGATAGACGCTATTTCCTGCATAAGCTGTGGACTACGCAGAGAGAGTGGGCTCTGATTGGGAACTGGCTCAGGCAGGTCGCCCATAAAGCGCAGAATCATTATCCAAATGGCCTAAATCATTGAAGGAATAATGGTAAGTCTGGCAATTAGTTATCACATCTATCATATGTCACTTACCTTAGCAGCCGTTTGATCCAGGGGCAGATCATGTTTTAGTAGGGCCTGTTTGAGGGGCTTCTTTTCGTGCTGATATGTGATACCACTGCTAAAGTACGTGGAGGCAAATTTTAAGAAGCTAAAGTCGGAAGTGTCAACATTACGAGGGGTTGGCTTGGGCAATCGAATGGTGCCAGCGGAGCTGATGCTGTTGGTCTTTTTCAGATTAATCTATTTTTAAAAATAGGAGTAACACATCAAAATAGTATATTGCACAGTTGACTACAATTACCAATCAACCAGAAACCAGAAAAAAAAACTTAATGAATGTAACAAAGCTCCAATAAGGGTATTCCACAGCCAACATGCAAGACCTAAATTTATCATATGGTTTCTCTTATACACACGATCGCGGAAATAATTTGTTATAAATACATTTAGTCATTTGAATTTTAGACAGTTATAATCAATGTGGCTGCCAGCTGTCAAGGCGGCCAGAGCGCTTAAGGTTTTCTATGCTACAGCTGCGCCGAAGATTTTTCGATCCGATAAGAGTCCGAATACAATTTACAATCACATTTTATTTAATTAGCGATAGCGGGGGCTTTGCTTGACAAATTTTTTATTTTAAAGTTAGTTGCTGGCTACACCTCAACCTGTGCGTATATGGGTTCTAGCTAGCGGAACTCGAAGGAAATTGAATATTATATGGTTGTTGTTAATAAATATTTAAAATGTTTTGTTGTTTACTCTGGTTTCATTTCAAAACTTATTTTATGTTGATTGAATAACTATTATAGTTTAATTAATATGTGTGCAGGTTTTCCTCGCGTACCTATGGAGGTCTATATAGAATTAAGGACCAAACAAATGAATAAATACATGTGAATAAATATTGATACATACACACATATAAATATATTAAGGTTCGCACAGGAGACTCAAGCTAAGAATCGGAAATATGAAGGTAAAGTAAATTGAAGGACAGGAAATCGACTTGTATTTTATTTCACATACGTCGACTAAGGAAATCAAGTTTTATTTGCCCATGACTAGGCGCTGAGTATTTTTTGTTATGTGCGCGACTTTCCCAAAAGATAATCAAAGAAAACAAAAAGCTATTTAGTAATCTTGAGAACTATTAAAGCTCTAATCTGTTGCCCTATTCTATATGTAAATATTATCGAAATTAAGGCAACTCTTATCTCACAAATTAAAAATTAAAAATAGATTAGGAACAAAAGCAAGAAATGTGTTCTAATTTCCGCCGATTGTGCTG